GTTTGAGGAGCAGCACGGAGAGAAGGGTTTGTCTCCGCGGGCGATGAAAAAACTAGAAAACAGAGCAGCAGCAGCAAAGAAGATATTAAGCACAAACAAAACAACAAAAATATTAATTGAGGGTTTATATAAACAGAAAGATTTACATAAACAAATACAGAGACAGCAGCTAGAGAGATTGATAGAGACCAGTGGTCTCCTTGAGGATATAGAGGAGACAGCAGCAGCAGCAGCAGCAGCAGCAGCAGAAGCGACAAAAGCTGCTGCTGCTGCAGCAGATAAACATGAACCTGTAACAACAGCAGCAGTAGCAGCAGCAGCAGCAGCAGCAGCAGCAGCAGCAGCAGCAGCAGAAGCAGATATAGAAGCAATAGAGCTGCTGGGGGGGGCCTGGCGTGTGCCTAGGGTGCTGCAGGCTATCCAGGAGTTTAGTTTACGTATAGGGGATAAAAAAGGAGACANTGGCGTGTGCCTAGGGTGCTGCAGGCTATCCAGGAGTTTAGTTTACGTATAGGGGATAAAAAAGGAGACAAAAAGGAGACAAAAGGAGACAAAAAAGAGACAGAAGAAAGCGAAAAAAAGGAGACAGATAAAGAAGACATAAAGGAGACAGATACAGCCGAGAAAACAGAAAAAAAAGGAGACAAAAAGGAGACAAAAGGAGACAAAAAGGAGACAGTTCAGACCCTTCTCAATGGAGACGAAGCAATGGCGACGGGAGCAGCATTTGTAGCAGCAAACGCAACAACAACGTTTAGGGTGAGGAAGCTGCTGCTGCAGGATGGTGTTCCTTATACATATTCTCTGCGTTTCTTCGGCCTGCAGCAGCAGCAGCAGCAGCAGCAGCAGCAGCAGCAGCAGCAGCAGCAGCAGCAGCAGCAGGAGGGAGAAGAGTATAGAAAGGTGCTGCTGCAGCCCTTCTCTAGACTCAGCGGCAGCAAAAAGGTAACAGTAAGAGCAGCAACAGATTTCGTGCTGCAGCTGCTGGAGGACGAGAAGGTGCTAACAACTCATACTATTTCAGGTGTACACGCAGCTCAGCAGCAGCAGNGGACGAGAAGGTGCTAACAACTCATACTATTTCAGGTGTACACGCAGCTCAGCAGCAGCAGCAGCAGCAGCAGCAGCAGCAGCAGCAGCAGCAGGGGGAGGGGGAGGGGGAGGAGACAGAAGAAGAGGTATCTAAGGCGGAGTTGATCTTCTCTATAGATGCTGCAGGCGTAATACAACTCAAAACAGCAACACTTGTTATGGAGAAAACAACATACACTGCTGCTGACGAAAAGGAGACACCTGCTGCTGCTGCTGCTGCTGCTGCTGCTGCTGCT